TCTCATTTGGCACTTTCAAGAATGAGTTTAAAAAAACCTTTATTTTATTGTCATTTAGGGTGCAAATTGAAGTAGCCTGACCATTGCAAATGCACTCTACATGGGGCTATGCTTGAAGAGTATTGGAAAGCCATAACTGTTGCAGAAGGCAGTGTCGTGGCCAATTCTCGGGGCGCCTAAATTGGCACAGGTTACACTCTATTCCACAAGCTGCAACAATGGCTGCTGTTTGCTTCCAGTGGAATTCAAGGTATTGGTTATCACTTTTAAAGCATTGATTCAGGCTATCTGAAGAACCGGCTCACCCCACTGGGATTGCCCCACCCTACACATGACAACCAACAGAAGGGACATGCTGAAGATATAATAAATTAATAATAAATAAAATAATACATTTGGAAAAACAGCAGGATTTTAATTTACTCTGTGTGTATGTGTGAGAATATATGCTTGAAAACATGATCTTGAAAACATTTTTAGCAGAGTCTGTTAATAGTGAATAAGTCAATATGGGCAAGATGAGCTTTTCAAAAGCCAGTTCTATTTTTCCATTGTGCCTTGCTTTAGTTATTCAATCTCAACAGGGTTTTTCTTAAACAACAACAACATTCCAATGATATAAATATTCCACAGCTTATTTACTCTTGGATTCAAGAATTAATTTTTCATTTGTCTCATTTTTCTGCTTCTACAAGACCTCAACATTTTCACAAGAATAATGCTACAATCCTACCCCACAGTTAGATATTTTCATACTGTTGTATAATTTCAGTATCTAATCTGCTGGTTGGGCCAAATGAACTTTTGGTTAGAGATAAAATGTAGAGGTTCTCCTCACCAAATTGCAGGTTGTTTCTAGGAAATTCCCATTTCTCATTGTAAGGAAGCTGGGTGGGGTCAATAAAGATGTAATTGTTTCCTTCAGAGGCTTCAATAATCTTCCAGTGGATTTGATATTTTGGTTTCTGAGAAGAGAAATTATTTAGGAATCATATGTTGTTTCACAGTATTTTGGTATTGTGCTTAAATGGCCCAATCCTATTATGGTAATCTCATAAAATGACATATTGTTTCATTGAAATGTGAATAAAGATTAATACAGCTTTTCCTTAGGAAGAGCAATAACTGAAGACATAGGATAAGAAATGAGGAAGATAAAAGGAAAAATAGAGGAAAAGAAAAACAAGAGATAATAATTATATTGAAAAAAAGACATACATGCATTTTATGAACATGAAGTTATTATTCTGTAAATTACTTATTTATCAAACATATTGGCCATCCATTTTACCACTGGATAACTCTGGGTGACTTTCAAAACTAAGACATATATTCACAATATCTGTACAACACTGTAACTGTTAATGACGTAATATCACTTCATAGATAAAACAAATAAAATTAGAATTGCTCCTGAAGAATTGGTCCTTATTCCCTGCTCTCCCTATTTGCACTATAGAAAAAGAGACAACAAGAGAGAAAATACTATCAGAAGAATCTTTCCCACATTTCATCATTTGTGGGTGGTAGTAGGGAGATTTTAAATTCCCAGAATAAATATGCAGATACTCCTCGCTTAACAACCAGTTGCTTAATGACTGTTTGAAGTTACAACAGCTTCCAAAAGGGTGTAATATGATTTGTAAAGCACTTCCAGCAGCCTAAAATCTCAGGCTGCCTCCTACAGTCACATTGACTACATATTTGGCACTTGGCAACAGGCTCACGTTTACCACTGGTTGCAGTGTCATATGACTATGATTTGTGACTTTCTTTTTGGATGATCATGGTGACTCAGTTTATGAGCATTGGAAAATATGGCCAGAAAATTGAGTTAGGTCATGTGCAACCTGCTTATTCCCTGACTTATGAACAAAATTCCAGGGCCAATTGTGGTTTTTAAGCAAAAGAAATTTGGTAACACCTGTTTTGCCACAAATATGCCATTCTATACATTTTACTTCTGGTGTTGTACTAATGACTGTTTATATATTGTAATCTTAATCTTAAGGAGGTTGTTTGCTTTAACTGAGAATATCTTTCTTCCTTCCTGCTTCTTTGGGAGGTGCTGGAAAAGAACATATTGAAAAATTCTGTTCTTTCCCCTTTCTTCAGCCTATTGGCATATGTGTGTTTTCTAAGTAATTATTCCTCTGAATTGCAATTCTCACAATCACTCAGCTTCCTTATTCATTGGGGATGATGGAGATTGTGGTCCAAAACATATCCAAAGGACACCAAGTCATTTGAGTTTCAGAGCTTCTTTGGCAAATTCTTGATTATTTTTCCTTCCATACATAAATTTTTTTTAAAAACCTTACCTGTTTATATTTATAGGCCAAGATGATGATACACAGAAGAAGGAAACCCATTGTGCCTCCAAAGCCTGCACAAAGTAGTCTGGAGATTTCATTCTTGTTTCCTGGAAACACAAAATGCATAAGGAAGAGAACAGTGGCAGGGAGTCCCACCATCCTTGAGACTAACAGGAGAAAGTTCTGTGGTCGGTTTGTCAGATTAGGGTAAATATAATCATGTGACAATAGCATGCACCACAATTTTTCTCTGAAATATTGCTGAGTTTGCAAAGTGAGGTCAGCTGCGAGGCAGTTGGTTTCAGGCACAGCATGTTATGCCAACCGAGACTATTGTGGTTAATTGAACAAGCCATCATTTGGCATGATATATGAATCAAGCAACTCTTTTAAATTTGTCATACCTGTCCTTGTGCTTTATACCTTTATGAATGGCATTGAGTTCATTCATGCTGAAAATGTATCCACGTATTTTGGACAATAATTCACAGATTGATGGGGTGATGATTTTACTTTTTATAAGTTTTTTGTTTGTTTATCAAAATATAAAATACTGAAAAAATGAAAATAATGGGAAAATAAGGGAGAAAAAAGAAGAGAGAAAAGTGTAGGACAAGGGAAAAAAGAAAGAAAAGCACTGACTTTCTACTCTTTTTGGTGCAATATAATGATAGTAGAGATGTATTTTCCAAAACAGTTGGGGAAGGTGGAATTAAATATTCATCCACCATGTCACTCTTTCCCCCAAATTTCAAAAATACTAGTCCTTTATAAAAAGATGAAAAATCAGCCCAGAGAGCAGAAATTAAAGATGGAAAATGTGTATTTATTGTTAAAAACCTTCAATAGTTTTTTTTTAATGTAAGTTACCAAATAAATAAATAAATAAATAAATAAATAAATAAATAAATAAATAAATAGAATCAAAATGTGTACGTTTTAAGTGGAAATCCATTCCTTTTGGGATGTTTTCTTTTCTTCATTTCTTTTTGAATTTTTGAATAAATCTACTACTCTTGTTTAATTTTCTCAACCTCAAATTATAGCAGTCAATGTTCACTTGAAGTGAATGGAAAAATACTAGTTTTTTCTTAAAAAGATGATGGTGAAATCACACAGAGTACATTGAGAAATTACTGAAATGCCTCAGGAAAACTATTTTTTAAAAAAATCCAATGAATATACAAATTGATCTTACCAATAACCTTATCGACAGAAAGTATGATGGAATCAGAGTCATTTCCAGCGCTATTAACTGCAAAACA